CGCAGGTAAATAAGGGCGCCGCCACCGCGAGGTGAGTAAGTTACAAGTCAGCAAGCTACAAGTAAACTGAGCAGAGAAGCGAGTTGCGAATAAGCAAGCTATAACTTTAATTGTGTTAACAAGTAGTAAAGCGTTGTAATTGCTTTAACAAGTATAACGTAATCATAAATAATCCAATAGGGAACAGATTTTTATTTTCATTTAATATCAAAATTTGATCGATGTTACCACCAGCACGCTTTCTTTCAAATGAAAATATGGCTGTCAAACTATCAAATTGCCTGCAATAGATGTCAAGCAATAAGCGCTGACATATATTGCAGCCCATAAGAAATAGGCGGTCTCCATTGGAAACATATTTTGTCACATGGTTATCACGACATCAGTGTTTTCCTGTGGAGCCAGGGCCTAAGTTGCCATAACCAGGGCTGCCAACTTCCGTGCCATTTTTGGCCCTATCTTACATCAAATGGCACTTAATTTTTCAATTTGGCACAAAGTGCCAAAATGGCACTTCTCAAAAATAGTAATATTTCAACATATTTTTGTGAAATACTTTGCGTGTACTTCTTTTTCTCAACTAAAATTTTCTAATTTCTAGAGATTATTCAACTGGTTTATTTGATTTCGGCATTGCACTTTTGCTTTAGAAATGTGGGTCTTATTTTATTGCTGATTGGGAAGGATTAAAAAGGATGGCACCTTTTTTGGCACTTTTATTTTTCTATTTGGCACATTTTGGAACTTTTTTATCCTCAATATGGCACCTCATAACTAAAGATAGCTGGCAGCCCTGACCATAACCCTGCAGAGCATTATGCAATAATAGCTCTGATCCAATACTTTTCGTGCAAAATCCTGTAAAAATGTCAAACAGCAAAATTACTTTCTGAAGTGAGAGTAAAAAGTGAGTAACAACAAAAAGTACGGGAACAAAAAAATCATTTTTCCTGTAAAAACGTCAACCAGTGATCACTTGACACTTTTCATGATTTTACCAGGAGAAAAAAATCGGGTAAAATCTTGCAACTTCATTCTCTACACAACTCTCCAAAAATCGCTCTCATTTACAGGATTTTGGAGGAATTTGGAGTACGGGATCATTTTTCCTGTAACTTCCTATAAGTTCATGTAAAAACCTGTAAGTTCATGGAGTACTGGGTCAGAGCTAATACATGATGGTATCAGTTGTGACAGCCATGAACCAAAAATACAAGATCACGTAAGAGTGCGACGTTGTATTTGTAACTGGTTTTGAGAAAAAAGTTTGCGAAAGCGGGTTCGTCAGCTGAGCGTTTGCTTACATAACAAGCACCACTATTTTACACTTTAATTCAAGTAAAGAAGAGTTAATTCAACATGACAACGCATTTTAAAGCATTTTGTTGCATCATTTTACCTAAATTGTGCGTTTAAAGTGGCTGACAATAATTTTGGCTAATTTTGGTTTTCGTTGTTTTCTTTGCTTTGTTTACTTTTCGCTCGTTTTCCAGTGAAACAAGATGGCGTAGAACCCGCTAAAAAAATCGACTTTTTCACTCTCTTTTTCTTACGTGATCTTGTGCCTTTCGTTCATGGTGACAGCTCGATTTGACACTGCCTTAGCTCAGTAGAATAAGAAGAAAAACGGGAAGAAATTAATCCCCAATTGGGGGAAAATATAAAATTTTATATTTTCTTCTAAACAAAATTTGCTTTCTTATAGTATATTCGTAATTAAATTAAATAAAATATGATAAATACCATTTTAAGAAAACAAAATGTGTATACTGTGAAAAAATAAAAAAACATTCAACTATATTATTAGGCAAAGAATTGATAAAGAAGTAACACGTTTTAGCTAGGCAGTCAATATGGCGGAATTAAAGCGAGAAGCTGCCAATCGATAACTTATTTATTAGGTTCATTCCTTATCTCTTTGGACTAAAATCTGAAAAGTGTCAAAATGCCAGAGCGTAAGCAAAATGCGCTCACTAAAAGAGAATAACAGGAAAATTAAAGGAACGCAAAAAACCAAATTTTTAGTCCAAAGAATGGCAACAACAAAACTAACGTCAAATAAAAACAGAAATGTATGTACAAAACACATTCACACAAGCACAAACACAATAAACACTTGCTATATCAATTATTTTTTGCCTCCTTCCAATTTCAATTCATTTCTTTTACTTTTTAGATTATTCTCACTTTTATCTTTAATTTCCGTTAATTTAAATTCAGTTGAGTTTGACACTTTTCAGGATTTTGCCAGAAAAAATTCTTCTGACTAAATCTGACTACTTCGGACTGATGAGAGTCACTCTCACTGACTGTTGCTCTCTCATTTTTGCTGTCATTTCCGAGTTAAGGAACGCTTTTTGGACTAAATCTGACTACCTCGGACTTTTTCTGACTATTTCTGGGAGATAAGGAACGCTCCTATTATTGCATCATGCCTGCAGAGAATGTACATTTACGTTCTCTGATTATACGTTCTCTGCTAATGGATCATTTCGTGGCTTTAACTGAACACACCTGAACATAAATGTCAGCTGGATGAGTTTCAATTACAGTGCAGTGGAAAAGTGACAAGCAAAATTGTTGAAAATGGTTTTAGAGAGTACTATGATATGGTAAGTAATTTTATTAAATATAGATTAAATTCCAAACAATTTTCAATATCTTCGTGTGGAAAGTGAGTATTTAAACGCGCTAAAATAAGCATTATATACAAATTGCTTGTTTTGAACAGAGGGGATAACACATCTGGCTCTCGTTTGCGGCATCTTGTATGAATGTGTACATATGCGTCTGTTGTTTTCTTTTTATTAAAAGTTTCTTACATTTATTCCAGTTTTGATAATAGTGATTACCAAAGAAATGGTGATTATTTTCCTACTCGTTTAAACGTGCAAAAGGATGGTATCAACCTGGTTTGTCTAACGAAGGTTCGTTCTAATCCCGAGAACAATGTTGGCCTTATGACAATATCCAAGTAAGCACAGTTATCAATTTAATAACTTTTAAACTAAAAGAATTTAAATTAACTACCTAGCACCATCGAAGTTCTTGCTACACTCACCAGTGATGTAGGTCGGATCTTCTCAAAAATGCATTTAATACAACCAAAAGGCGAAATAAATTTACTGACTGGAATACGAATTGCGCATGTAAGTTTTTATGACCATGAAATTGAAAAAAGGTTATAGTATTTCAAATCGCAGTTGGTTTTGAAGCACCGTCAAGGAAAAAATCATAAAATGCGCATTGTAGTATTTGTTGGTTCGCCTATCAAAAACGAAGAAGGCGAATTGGTCAAACAAGCTAAGCGTTTAAAAAAAGAAAAAGTTAATGTTGATATCGTTAGCTTTGGTGATCATGGCAACAACAATGAAATTCTAACTGCATTCGTTAATGCACTAAATGGAAAAGATGGCACTAGTTCCCATTTAGTTAGCGTCCCACGTGGATCAGGATTATCCGATGCATTACTATCATCACCCATAATACAGGGTGAAGATGGTTTGGGTGGTGCAGGATTGAGCGGCGCTGGTTTCGAATTTGGTGTTGATCCCAATGAGGATCCCGAATTGGCACTTGCTTTGCGCGTGTCAATGGAGGAACAACGCCAACGGCAAGAAGATGAGCAGCGACGCGCACTTTCTGAATCAAATGTTGCCGGTGGCACCGAGGTAGGTACTGGCAACGCCAGTACAGGTGGAGAGAAAACTAGCGCCAGCACTGCTGGTGTAAGTGTTGAGGAGCCAAACTCTGAAGAAGCAATGTTACAGCGTGCATTGGCATTGTCCACAGAAACGGTAGGAAAATTTAAATTCCATGAATAATTTTTATAATGCAATTTCATTTCGTCAAAAGCCGGAAGATCATTTGCCCGATTTCGCTAACATGACTGAGGAGGAACAGATCGCTTTTGCCATGCAAATGTCAATGCAAGATGCAGGTTTGTTATGCGGAGAAAATATTTTTGCAGTACATATTTATACATATTTTTGTTTCAAAATTTAAAAGCTGATGACACCGTTACTCAACAAGCTAAGCGTCCAAAAACCGAGGAAAACCAACCTATGGATGTTGACGAGGACTACTCGGAGGTAATTGGTGATCCCGCATTTCTCCAGGTATATATTCCATAAACATAAACCTACTGCATCTGCTTTATTTATAATCATTTTCATATTTAAGAGTGTACTCGAAAATTTGCCTGGTGTGGATCCACAATCCGAAGCCGTACGAGACGCAGTGGGCTCGCTCAGTAAAGATAAAGAGAAGGAAAAGGATAAAAAGACCGATGATGGGGATCAGCCACAGTAAAATGTATTTACATTCGTAGGGGACATTCAAATTCATACCGCTTCAATATCTATACTACATTAATGCCTAAAAATTAAAGCTTCTCCGAAGTTATTATTTTATAATGAAATTGCGTTAAATAAAATGCTTATCAACTGGATTGTGGTTGTTGTGTATCTTTCAATGGTTTTAAGCTCAGCTAAACTGGTGTCGGCCGCTGTGGTGTAAGGCGCGCTCCACTCCGCAGCACCTGGGTTCAAGCCCTTGTCAAAGCAACATTGCAAAAAAATTTAGAAAAAAAGTTTTTTCTTAACAGTGGTCCCTCGGCAGGCAAGGGCAAATCTCCGAGTGTATTTCTGCCATGAAAAACAGCTTCTTACAAAAATACAATCCCCGTTCGGAGTCGGCGTAAAACTGTAAGTCCCTCCGTTTTGTGTAACAACATCAAGGCACACGCCACAAGTCGGAGGAGAAGCTCGGCCGAACACTAACATATGTGAAAGCGCCAATCTATTATTATTATATAAACGGGTGGATTTTGGTAGTTGCCATCGAATAATATAATTCACAAATGAAGCCAGTAAATTCAACTTTTAGATGGCTCATTAACTTGATTTTACAGGAATTTATTTTCAAATATTTTTGATTAAATAATAGTTCCATCAAATTTGCTAAGTAATACCCCCAATATTATAGAAACTTAATAGAGGTTATTGTTTCTGGTAGTATGTATATTTTAATTGTGGCATTCTCACTATACGACTTGACAAAAATATACATAAATAATTTCATTACTGAAAGGAATCTCTCCAGTGATCGTTGATTTTTAATTGCCACCTTTGTATTCCTTCAGGTGAAGCAACACCCAAGCTGGTACTACGAGCAAAGAAACGCACATGCCTCCACCCAGTATTATACGTTCCTGAAAAGGAACAATTATAAAATTCGTAGGAGATTTAGAGTTTACGTAACCAACCCCTCGCTGAGTATGTTACAAATCTCCAAGTGGATTTACTTACGGCTTTAGACACCTTATTTACGGGTGGGCCGGCAATTACAGATTGGCAACGGTGTTGCAATCCTTTACGGATGGCTGGAAACAGAAGGCGAGCGGCGCTGTTTTGGAACATTTTCGACAATTACTTAAAATTTGGCGACTTTTACTAACTGCTGGCCGAAGTGCAATTCTGCTGTCACACGACGAACGATTCCTTTTTGACAGTTTCTAATTAAGCTATTCAGCGGCTGTATTTGGCGGCATCTACCGTGTGACTATTACAACTAAAGGCCTGATTATGAATACTTCGCATAACTTCGCACAACCATTTGTAGCAGTGCGATAAAACTAGCTATATTTTGCACGCATATGCAACAACAACGATATGATCCTGATATAGATCTGGTTCAATTTATGATCTGCTTGTTGTTGTTGTTGTTGTAGCGGCTACAACAACCCCGCCCAGGTCGGTTGGTATCTCAGTCGTTGTCGTCAAGTTCCACTAACGGCAGCCATAGGAAGCGTGCAGCTTCTGCGGAGTTGGTCCACAGGGACAAGGCCGTTACGGTTGTCGGGTTTTCCGGGCATGCGAGGAGATGTTTCGAGTCATGTGGGGTCTTTCCGCATGCCGGACACTCATTTGGCACATCCTCATTCAATCTACTCAGGTAGGAGTTTAACCTGCTGCAGTAGCCGGAGCGAAGTTGGGCTAGTGTAGTTCGCGTCTCCCGAGGCAGATGAAGCTCCGTCTCGTCTGTGTCCGGGGGCGGTATGCCTAGAACGGCATTCACAGGTCTAGAGTCTACATAACTCGAGACTGACTCCCTGTGAATGCCGTTCAGGGCCAGTCGGTAAGCTGTCGGGTCCAGAGATGCCTCCTGACGTGCCTAGGCGAGGGCTCCTCTGCAAGCAGCTGTCTGTTTGGGTGGCCACTTCTGTGGCTCCCGACCAGGAACTGCTTGCAGAGCATGATGTTGTGCTCCTTTACGGGGAGCATTTGCGCCTCGCCGTGAAGATGGTGTTCGGGCGACATTAGGAGGCATCCTGTCGCTGTCCTGAGTGCGGTGTTCTGTGCAGTCTGTAGCTTCGTCCACTGCGTCCTACTAGTCCCCGGCGACCACACTGGCGCTGCGTAGTTCAAAACCGGCCGGCCTATTGCCTTGTATGTTGCCAGCAACGTTTCTTTGTCTTTGCCCCAAGTACTGCCGGCTAGCGACTTGAGGACCTTGTTGCGGCTCTGTACTTTATTGACAGTAGCGGTTGCCTGCGCAGAGAAGGAGAGCAGGCTGTCGAATGTTACTCTGAGTATTTTGGGGTTATTAACCGTCGGAATTGGTGTGTCATCGACGTGAATTCCCAGCGGTAGCCTGACCTCCTTCGTCCAGGTTGTGAACAGGGTCCCAGAGGATTTCGTAGGGGAGAGGGCTAGACACTTTGCAGTGAAGAAGCGAGACAGTTCGGAGAGATACCCGTTTACTTTCGAACACAGGTCATCAATTCCATTCCCAGTCGCCATGATCGAGCAATCGTCGGCATAAGAGACAATCGAGACTCCCTCTGGTGGTTGAGGGAGCTTTGAAATGTAAAAGTTAAACAGTAGCGGGGAAAGGACACCACCCTGTGGAACCCCCTGTTTTATTTTCCTGTGTTTACTCGTTTTGTCTCTAAATATTACCGACGAATGTCGACCACTCAGATAATTTGCCGACCACCGTTTGAACCTCTGTGGGAGAGAGGAGGCCTCTATATCTTCTAGTAGCGTGGAATGGCAGACGGTGTCAAACGCCTTTGACAAGTCCAACGCTACTAGAATCGTTCTCTCACAGGGACGAGTTATCTGAGTGTTTATGGCGTTAAGTGCTGTTGTTGTGCTGTGCACTTTACGCTGATGCTTCGCTGGGGTCAAGTGGTTTGTGAAGTACGGGAGTAGCAAGGCCTCGAGTGTCTTCGCTACCGGGGAAAGGAGTGTTATCGGACGATAAGAATCTCCTTTGTTGGCAGGTTTCCCCGGTTTGAGCAGTGGGAACACTCTCCCCACCTTCCAGATGTCTGGGATGATGAGAGTGGCAGCGACCTCACATTTGACCAAAGCTTGCTCACACCAGAGGTGAAGTTACAGGTCTTCAGATGCTCCTCCCACTTCTTCCGCTTATGTACGTTTACTAGTTGCCGAATCTCCGCGTTGAGATCCCTGATACGGGGATCTCCGGGATCGGCCTGACGAAGGCTATCACGCTCATCGGCTAGAACAGCCGCTTCGGCAGGGAAGTTTGGACGTGGGTCCGTTATACATCCTGCCGGTATGAAGCGAGCTGCAGCAGCAGTGATAGCCCTGCGGAACTTACGTTCACCGAGATGGACGTCGGTTGGTGTGGGGAGCGCTGTGAAGGTGTTTTCGGTAAACTCCCCGTAACCCTTCCAATCAGCTTTAGAAAAGTTGATATAGGTCCGGTGTTTAGCGGAGGCAAAGTCGATTGGTTTATCTATCGAGATGACTATGGGTAGGTGGTCTGATGCTAAAGTCAGCATAGGTCGCCATGTTATGCTGTTTACACTGGTCGACGGCCAAAATTTACCAGAGACGCCGTTATGAAATCCGTATGTAAAATCACCCCCTGATTCCGAAAATCAAGGTTATTTTTAATTTTATGGTACCGTTTTTGAGATATTTGCAATTTACCGTTTTTGCAAAAAAAAAAAAATTGGGTCCACTTAATCATATATATCTCGAGAACGAATTAAGCAATTCCAAAACGGTTTGAAGCTTTTAAAAGGTAATAAAATTTTCTATAAGCTGTGCATACAACACTTTTTGCTAGGCCCTGTAGATTCAAAGATAACGAACAATCATTACCGATTTTTTTCAATTTTTTTTGTAAAAATATAAAAAAAATTGTATTTTGCGGGGAAGGATCTCGAAAACCTTTTATTTTTTTGCAGATTTTTTTTCTCCCTAAGCTCTGTTATATTACAAAAAAAAATAAGGTATCATCGAAGAAAATCGATGCAAAACTACGTAAGTTATAAGCGATCAAATAAAAATACCCAGGTTGCGCAATTTCAACGTATACCTCAAAACGTATGTATGGTATAAAGAAGAGTGAAATATCTAGCTATGCTCTGTTTCTATTGAGTTAAAAGTTCAATTTATGAATGAAATTACCCATATTTTTAACTTTTTTTTTAAATTTATTTATGTTTATACTGGCTGAATTTCTTTATTCATTCTGAACGTTTGGAATAAACTTTTTTGTTTACTTATTATTTAGAACGTTCCTGATGATATGTTAACGTATATTTCAAAAGCATTCTGTTTATTCCGGCTGTGAAATGGGATTATCCGGAATGTATAAAGAAACGCAGCCACTATATTCTAACAATCTTTATCTTAATTTGATTTTACTATGTTGTCGAAATAATTATGTGTTCTACTTTGACGCTTATTCAGTTTAGGATCGGTTTCTCTTATGAGAAACCAGCAGTAATCACCCATCATTGCGACGTCCCAGAATCCTTGATATCGATTCTCAATTAATTTCATTTGCTGATGAAACCTTTCGCCATGTTCATCACTTTCGTCGCCAAGATTTGCCGGAAAAAAGCTCAAATGTGAGTGGAGAAAGTGAATTTTTAAAGACATATTTACGCCCATTTTCGCATAATTATTGATTAGGTCGTTCACTATCTGCTCGTAGTTAGGGCTTTTGTGTCTACCGAGAAAAGAAGCAACGACCTTTTCAAAGGATTCCCACGCTGCTGCCTCAACTGATGAGAGTAGTCCTTTGAATTGATTATTGTTGATCAACTTTCTTATTTGTGGTCCAACAAAAATACCTTCCTTTATCTTGGCTTGAGAAATATCTGGAAAAACTGTTTTCAAATAGTCGAATGCTTCGCCTTCTTTGTCCAAAGCCTTAACAAAGTTTTTAATGAGACCGAGCTTGATGTGTAAGGGTGGAAGTATGATTTTCTCTTTCTTGACAAGAGGGGTGTATTTGATGTTATCCACACCAACGGTAAACTCGACTCTTTCCGGCCAATCCTTTCTGACGTAGTGGTCCTTACGAGCTCGGCTATCCCACTTGCAGAGGAAGCAGCAGTGCTTGGTGTAGCCACTTTGTAGACCGCATAGCATTGCAACGACTTTGAGATCAGAACATATTTTCCAATCATGCTCTTCATATTTGATAAATTTGAGTATTTTTTGCATTTCCTCGTAGGTTTCCTTTGTATTTACTGCATGTGCAATCGGGATAGAAGGCTTTTTGTTACCAATATGCAATAATACAGCCTTCAAACTCAGTTTATTGCCGTCTATGAACAATCGCCACTCTTTTGAATCATATGTTTGACCAAACTCTTTGAATAAACCAGGGATGTCGTTGCAGTAGCATATACTGTCTTTCTTGGTATAGTGTTTGGAAAATGGTTCGTGACGAGTTCTACTATATGTCACCTTATCATCGGATGACACAAATTTAAATTGTTGCAAACGAGAAGTGTGGATCTCGGCTTTTTCCTTGGATAGTTCCAAATCAATCCATTCAATCAATTATCCAATCATTAAGTTGTGCTTGTGACAGAACGTTTCTTTCGTTTTCCATGCGAAATTCAGTACAACTTGATCCCCCGCACTCAGATGTTACTGTTGACAATGGAACTGGATCCGCAACTGCCGTTGAATGTAGTACTGGTAATGTCACTGTAGGTACGCTAGCATAGGTTACTCCTCTTGATCTTCCAACGCCAAGTACTTTTGTTTGACAAATATAACACTCTATTGAATGGCAAGTAGGTTCTCTCCATATCATTGGTGTATCAAATTTTGTTTGTTGTCCTGATTCCCACTGAATCAATTCTACTCGACACGATGTACACAAAGTGTTCGGTGTCCATGGTTTTT